CAAAAAAAGACCAGATTTACTGGCCTAAAGGAGACTGGAGAAACCCTGAGAGTATGGCCCCCAGACACCCTTTTAGCTCAGTGGTGAAGTCATCTCCAAGGTTCACTGTTCAGCCAGGGATTGGACAGCCTCGTAAAACAAAACAGGACTAACGAGGCACAGCAGTTCAGGGACAAGGGCCAGAAGGCAGAAGGCGACAGGAAAGCTGGTGATAGGGAACCCAAGGTTGAGTAAGGATATTGTTGATGTGTTGTGAGGTTGTTAACCATTGTCACAGGGCAACATGTATACCAATTGTTAAATGAGAAACTATTTTGTTCTGTAAGCCTTCATCTAAAGTGAGAATAGCAGCACAACTGGAAGAGCATAGTCGATGTCACTGAACTGTGGATGTGGAAATTTCTGAAATGGTGTATCTTTGGATATGTATATTTTCACCAAAAAAAAGAAAAAGGTTGAGAAGGGAGAGGGTTGACATGTTGTAGGGTTGTTAACCAATGTCATAAAACAATATGTGCACTACTGTTTCATGAGAAACTATTTGTTCTGTAAGCCTTCACCTGAAGTACAATTAAAAAAAAAATAAAAAATAAATAAATAAAAATTTAAAGTGACAATAGCAGCACAATCGGAAGAGCATAGCTGATGTCGCTGAACTGTGCATGTGAAAATTTCTGAAATGGTGTATCTTTGGATATGTATATTTTCACCCAAAAAAAGAAAAGGTCAAGAAGGGAAAGGGTTGACATGTTGTGGGGTTGTTAACCAATGTCATAAAACAATATGTGCACTACTGTTTCATGAGCAACTATTTGTTCTGTAAGCCTTCGCCTGAAGTCCAGTAAAATAAAAAAAAAAAGAACCAGTTGCTATGGAGTCAGTTCTGACCCACGGCAACACCATGTATGCCAGAGTAGAACTGTGGTCCATAGGGTTTTCAATGGCTGATTTTTCAGAAGTGGATCATCAGGCCTTTCTTCTGAGATACCTCTGAAGTGAACTGGAACCTCCAATCTTTTTGTTAGCAGCCAAGTACATTAACCAACCGCACCACCCAAGGACTCCAATATGGGCTTGTAGGTAGCTTGATATTTCCAAGGTTGAGTCCAAAAGTGTATATAATACTTATGGAATAGTGAAAGCCAGGCTTATTATAAAAAAAGGCACTTTGCTTTTAGTGAGGTTGTTCTGTGAGCTTTTTCTAAGATTTGAGGTTTAAATACTGAGGTCAGGTATCAGCACACTTTTTCTATAAAGGAGCCAGAGAGCAAATATATTAAGCTTTGGTAACCATACAATCTCTGTGGTAACTATTAGACTCTCATTACTGGATACTTCCATTATAGACAATATGTAAACAAATGGGTGTGGCTGTGTACCAATAAAACTTTATTTACAAAAACAGGCCCATAGGCTGTAGTTTGCTGTCCTGATCTGGGTCTGGCCTAAGAAAATAAGGTTTAAAATTATTTTTAAAATTTCTGTCTAAACCAAATAAGTGAAAGCATGATATGACAGACACATCATACAAACACTGCCTTATTCCTTTAAAAACATGTTTTAAAAAGAACTGGTTGTTAATGAAGATGCAAAATAATGAAAACTACTAACGTAACGTGAGAAGGGATTATTATTAGAGGTATGTTTTCAGGTTTCCTCACACCCTTTTATAATTGAAATGGAAAACACGCTCTGTTGTTAGCAATGAAGGGAAAAGATTCCTTTGGAATAACACAGACCTGGGCTCAAATCCTCATTCAACCTACTCACTAACATTAGATGTGGAAAAAAATGATTTCAACTGTCTGAATCTTAGTTTCCATGTCTATTAGGTGAGAATGAGGGTGATTTTCTGTTTGTATGCATCATATAAACGATGTTACAAGCCTGACACACAAAGGTTAGCTCATTCTTCATAGCTATAAATTATCTTCTGACCATAAGAATATTTTTGCAATACAGAAATTAACAACACAAATTTAGTCCTTAGATTTTTCACACACTGTCAAAGACTACTGTCCCACAAACAAAGTACCACCATAGAGGTGGAGACGGAGGTGCGTGGAGCACTGGAGATAAAGCTGCCCACTTCCTCTGTCCACTGTAGGCTATGCTTTCTGACCTTGTTTTTACTATATCCCAATAAGTACTGTCATTCCTAGTAGATACCATTCTTTTGATATTTGTTTCCCACTTACAAAAACGGGGTCAAGGTGGTGGGCTAAGAAAATAAGTGTTTTATAAAATTACTTGCAATTTCTCAGAGGTTCAACTGCCTAGAATTTTGTAGACTGAGTAGTTCCTTTGAGCTGGTTTCACAAGTTGCCTAACATGGAAAAAAAGAATCTAGCACTTGTTGTTACTGTTGTTAGGTATCGTCCAGTCGGTTTCAACTCATAGCGACCCTAAGTACAACAGAACGAAACACTGCCCAGTCCTGCACCATCCATATAATCACTGCTGTGTTTCATCCTATTGTTGCAGCCACTGTGTCAATCCCTCTCATTGAGGGTCTTCCTCTTTTTTGCTGACCCTCTACTTTATGAAGCATGTAGTAAAGAGTCTTAAATTTTAGACTTTTGTTACTAATTCTCTTTACAAACTCTTTGATGACCAGTAGAAAATAAAAAAGAATAGTAAAAAAGTGCTCCAGATATGAAGATTATTGAAATGGCAAATGTTCTGTTACATATATATTTACCACAATATTTAAAAAAAAAAGTGCTCCAGTTATAAACACCATATGTATTTCGATAATCTACTTTTATGCTTCTGGTATAAAGATGATCTGGAGTAGTGATCTGAATCTCTAACAGAAAAGGGGTGTACAGAGTTTGAAAAAGCATAATCAAAACTATAAGTGCTCAAAATCATTTTTAGTTACTGTATTACATTCATTTTAAAATTAAAATAATATTAGAGGAGAGCATGGGATTTTCTGGATCATCAAAAGAGAAATGAGCTTGGCAATAAATAAATAAAGAAACTCTGATTAAGAGCAAGAAATATCAGACTCAAACTGTTGAGCTTACTGTTTCACCTTCTGATAAAGAGTCTGGCTCTTAACATTACTAATATAAGCCAGGGCATTCTCAAACTTTGGTATCCATCAGAACTACCTTATGGAACTTGTTAAACATGCAGGTACCTAGGTCTGACTTAGACCTACTGAATCAGAATCTTTAGGTGTGGGGGCCCCAACATTTCTATTAAAAGAGACTTAGTTGAGCATCTTTTGACCAACAGTGATTAAAGATATACGGGTTTCAGAAATGCACATTAATTACTACTAACTAAGGAAGATAAAATTAGTTCTTAGGGAGACAAGTTAAACCTGTTTACTGCACATATGCAATTTTTTTACCTTAATAGGATTGTTTTCATTTTGCTCTCATCAAACATCACATGTGTCTACAAATCTTATACACAAACTTTCACTCCATGGCAAACTCACAGGGAACACAAACACACATTTTTAACAAACAAGGCTTTCCGTCTCTCTTAAAAGTTGGTACAATTTCCTATACATACTTGATCTGCATGGAGCATACTCAACAGTCTTTGTTCCATCTTGAAGAAAACATGTTCCAACAGGCTCTCTCTCCTGTTTCATTTCAGTCCTCCAGTGGTACAGTGGGGCACAGGCCTAAAATCAAAGGGCATGGTTCATGACATAAAAACTCTCTGAAAAAATCAGCGTTTCGAACAATCTATACTACCTCAGAATATAACATCACTTTCAAACCATTAATAAAAACAATAAACCTACGCTATACCTTAAATTCCTCATCACAGTATTAGATAAAGATATAAAAAGAAGTACTTCTCTCATATTTTTCTGAATGCTGTATTTGTAGTCCAAATACATTTTTTTTTCCAAAATAGTTTGTAAAATAATTATTTCAGGCAGCACATTTTGATGTTCAGATGAAAGTCACAGACTGAACTGACTCTTGAACTAAATAACACTTTCATGCACAAAGGAGATCCCCTTAAATTATATTTAATTTATTATGTAAGAAGACAAATGTAGCACTTCTTTTATTGACTTGCCAAATAACCTAAGTTTTTTTTGTTTTCAGAGTTACAGATTTCAATTACCATGTATAGGTAGAATAAATGCATGTTTTAGTAACATAGTAATCTACCAAAAGTACAGCAATTTAATTTACTGAAAACATTTCAATGGATTTGCTATAATACTTTTTGAAGCAAAACACTAATATAGCATTGCAAACATCAACACCTGGTTTATATTCACTCTGAAAAAAACTGAAAATAGGTCATGGTTGCTACTTCTGTATACATAATTAATGCCCCAGAATGGATTATTTGCTCCATCTTCTTGGTTCTGCTTCTTTGCATCTTTCTCTTTCTAGAAGGTTTCCATTTCTCCACCCTATCCACCACCTCTAATTCTTTAAAGCTCTACTGAAATTTCACTTCCTAGACAAATTCTCCCCTAACGCCCCACAATCAGATGTGGAGTCTCCCTCTCTGACTCCTCATAGCACTTTGTACCCTGTACAGCACCTTCATTCTAATTTGTATTAGAGGTATTTGTGAACTCACCCACCCTCCACTCCATCTTTTAGTCTATATGTTTTCCAAGGGCAGCCAGTATCTTACTCATCTTTCTGTTTCCCTGGTCCAGTTCCTCACACAAAATAAGTCCTCACTAAGCATCTGTGACATAAGGAAAGAAGGATGCAATGTAAGAAGAAAGTAAAGAATGGATAAGGGTAACAGCTGAACAATATGAGGAACATAATGTCACTGAACTATACATGTGAAGACTATTGAATTGACAAATGTTTTGTTATATGTATTTACTACAATTAAAAAAGAAAACAGAAGAGAAGTTAGGTGCTTCCAATAAGTGGATGAAATTACAGGGACATTGACTTTTTCTTGAATTAGTTGTGCAATAACACCTTCCTTTAAAGGTGATAAATATCCCTTAAAACCAGGAGTTTTAAATTATGTTTATTTTACTGTAGGCTTCATAGGCGAAAGAAGTGGCAGTTTACTCCTGTAAAGATTACAGCCTTGGAAACCCTATGGATCAGTTCTGTTCTGTCCTATAGGGTCACTATAGGAATTGACTTGACAGCAATGGGTTTGGTTTTGGGGTACTGCAGGCTTGGACCACTAACTCATCTAACAAGTACTAAAGTACAGCAGTTGTTGTTAGGTGCTGACGAATGGGTTCCAACTCACAGCGACCCTATAAAACAGAGGAGAACGGCCCCATAGGGTTTCTAAGGAGGGGCTGGTGGATTCAAACTGCCCACCTTTTGGTTAGCAGCCAAACTCTTAACCACTACGCCACCAGAGGTCATAGTAATGTGTCCCTAGAGACCATGACGATTGGTAGCCAAGGACACTGTCACCTATTTCTAGAAAACTTCTTATAGCTCTTTAGTCTCTTCTCCCTTCTTCCAACCTGTACTACTCTAGTAACCTTTAGGTCCTAAGAAGGTAAAAATTTACTTCTTCTAAAAAAGCAAAGTACTTAATATATTCTTATTTATGAATTTAGCTTCTACATGACCAAAAAAAAAAAAAAACCCATTGCTGTCAAGTCAACTCTGACTCATAGCAATCCTACAGGACTGAGTAGAACTGCCCCGTAGGGTTTCCAAGGCTGTAAATCTTTACAGAAGCAGACTGCCACATCTTTCTCCCATGGAGCGCTGGTGGGTTCAAACTTCTGACCTTCTGGTGAGCATCCAAGCATCACCAGAATGTAAACTAAAATTTCTTAGTGAAAGACTAAAAAGTTAGGTTAAATCAGTTTTACAAATAAACTATAAAATTTACATAGCCATGGAGAACTGTCTGCTTGATTTTATCCTACCCACACTAAAATGTCTGGACCGTTACTTCTTACAAAACCATTTCCCCTTCACTCTAAGTACTTATTCTCTAGCTTCATCCTCCATGACTAAGCCTAAATGGCTCCACTCATTCCAAGCAGTGTGGAAAAATCCCATGACAAATAAGCACATGTCTGTAATCCACCAGCATTCTAGCGAGCCAGTCTGGACCACAGATATGTTGTAATTATCATCACACTATCTAAAGACCAAGCTGAACTTACACGCAGTGTGTGTGTGTGTGTGAGTGTGTGTGAGTGTGTGTGAGTGTGAGTGTGTGTGTGTGTGTGTGTGTGTGTGTGTGTGTGTGTGTGTGTGTGTAGCCAGAAAGGTCACTGGACAAGGCTTTGCTGAATGAATGACAGTACAGAGCAAGGGAAAGTCTAAGGAAGATACGCAGTCCAGAAGTGGGTCAGCAGAAGTCAGAAGAAGAACAAGCTGACTTAGTGCCCTGGCTTACAGACATAATGATCCAATGGAAAGGGAAGCTATGAAGAATGGATATAAGGCAATTCATGTATAGATAAGGAATTTTACCGTTGTTTTTGTTGAATGCCACCGAGGAAAAGAGCTACCACTCGTTGAGTACCTACTACGTGCCAGGTGCCATCCCAAGTGCTTAACATCTATTATCTCTAATGCTGATCAGTACTCTGCCAGGTAAGTTGTGTGGAACTACAGCATAAATATGGCTCATCATCTTGGAGCTGTTCATTTTAATAGATGGTAAGTATTTCTAAGCATTATTTTTATGTTAAACAAATATATATGGATTTATTTAGACAATGCAAAATTTAACGTGCAGGGAACTGCTTAAGGTTGTGCTCCAGACTCTGGTCTATTTGCTTTCACTCTCAACCATCAATGGGGGAAGAAGGGGTGTTGCTTTATTGAGAAACTTTAAGATGCTCTACGGCTATTAAGACAATAAAGTAAAAAAGTGTAAAGAAGTCCCAGATTGTCTTCTCAATGATAAAGTACAAGCAGTGGCAAGAAGTATGGGCTATGGGCATCAGATTGCCTGCATGTGAATCCTAGCTCCACCAATTACTAGACAAGTAGCCTTGGACAAGTTACTTAAGCTCCAAATCTCAGTTTCCTTTTCTGTAAATGGACCAATTATTGTACCTATCTCCAAGAGCTGTGGTGAGGATTAAATGAAACAATCCATGTGAAATGTTTAAGGCCTGGAATATAAGTGCCAATAAATGTTACCTATTGTCATTATTGTTCTTATTACATAAGCATCATTAAGAATCAAAGGGCTTTGTATATAAGTAACAGAAAATGAGCCTAGTGTATTCAATCAAATTCCAGTGTAAGCTATTGATATTAATCCTGTAATTAGGAAGTTTTAAAAAAGTAGAAATTGTTCTCAAGCTCACTTATAAGCTCTGAAAAAGCTAATAAGTAAGACAATAGCAAGTTATATATTCCAGGGCCTTATACTATACTAAAGGGGACAGCTTTTGCATAGGGTAGCAACTGCACCATGAAACCAGTTGACACCTACAGGCGACTTCTAAGCGCTGAAAGGCCAAGTAATCTTAGATCTAGACTAGACTCCAGATTCTAGAGGGATCTGCCTGTGGAATTCCGATGGAGAGGAAGGGCACTCATGGAAATCTTAGACTTATCAGCAATCTGGGAACTGGCCAGGGGATTAGTGTCCAAAACACCCATTTCAAATGCAAATCTCTACTCAAAATAAAGCTCTTCAACTAGCACTTTGGGGATGACTGGGAGAATCTGAATATGGACTGGTTATTAAAGAGTTATTCATTGTAGCTGATTTTTTGAATATGCAGGAAAATGATCTTTTTGAAGAGTTCACATTATCATTTATTCAAAAATATTTCTACATAAAAAAATGAATTAATAAGAAACTTCAAAGACTCTCAGATGCATATAGAAAAGAGTCAAAGCTCTTTAACATGGCCTACAAATAGAATGAGCATATCATTTATGGTCAAAACTGGGAAAATGCTGAGTGAAAGTGAAACTGTAAACAACTGTGCCTGGAGAACAAGCATAGACTAGACCAGGCCAGCTGCATGGTCATTCTCTGATCTCCTCTCCTACTGCTTCTCACCATCCATGATTCCAACAGAACATTCCAGCAACAGTGGAATGTACTCTGTGGATACACTAAACTGGTTTTCTTCTGGACACATCTCTTAAAACCAGTCCCTGCCTCTGCCTAGATTGTTCTTTGTCCCCAGCCCCCCTCCTCATCTCGCTAACTCCAGGAAGTAAGATTCACCCTCTCCTCAGACTGGTTTAGGTGTCCTCCTAAGTATTCATCCAGCACTCTGCAAATCCACAGTACATTATAGTTATTCATGTATCTCCATGATACAATACAATAATACAACAATAACAGCTAAGCTTTGCCAAGGCTTACTAAAGTGCCAAGCACTGTGCAACCCCTCAGTGTGGATTATCTGATTTATCCTCACAACCACCCTAGAGGTAGCTACAGTTATTAACCCCACTTTGCAGATGAGGAAACAGAAGCAGAGGGTGATCACATGGCTTGTCAGTGCAGAGCCTGGGGATGAATCCTGATAATCTGACTCTGGGGTGCCTGCAACACTATCTGCTCAATCCCATATGATTCCCAAATACCGAACACAGAACTTGACACAGAGTACACTGCCTAAAAATTTTTGAACAGATAAAAGAATTTAAAAAATCCAGACTGTGACTACCAAGTAGTCTAGCCCTCTCCAGGAGACCCTGGGAACATCAATCCTCCTTATCCATCCCCAGAATTGGCCTGTGGCTGAGGGTAAAGCAACAGGGGACCAAATAACCAGATGGTTACTATCACTGAATCCCTCCCTGGTCAAACAGTCCTTTCTTCATCACTTTGTAATTCTATACAAAGAAAATATTAATTAGAGGTTATTGCCAAACTGCAAATGCACCTCTACCTTATATTAAATTACATGAGGAGGAACCGTGAAATTGCCAACATGTGATCATTCTGGAACTATGGAAACTACAATTTCATATGGTTTCACCTAATATCTTTCCAATCCTACTCCTGACCAGGGCAATGTTATTATATCCAACTATGAAGCAAATACACATTTTAAGGGAAATACGAGAACTTTAATACGTATTTCTCATCAGGTAACTTCCATTCATACAAAAATATTTACTGAGTTCCTATTATGTGATGGATGCTATTCCAAGCACCAGCAAAGATAGTAATGGGAAAAGCTAGACAGGTCCCTGCTCTCATAAAGCTTAGGTTTTAATGAGGTAGAGAGATAATAAAATATATATTTAAAAAATGTACAATAATAAGTACTCTGGTCTTTCTATGGAGAATGGATTGCAGTTGGGGCAAGAGAGGAAGCAGAGAGATGAGAAGAGCTATTGCACTGGCCCAAGGGGAGTGATGATGGTAGCTTGGTGCAGCGTAGAAAGAGTGGACATGAAGGGTGACTGATGGATTTAGGATGTATTCTGGAGGCAGAACTGAACGGGCTCGCTGGTGGATGAAGTGGAGATTCATGCCTCTTAATAAGTGGTGGGAAGACTTATGTGAAAACAGTTATTTCTGTGTTTCTGCTTTTTGATGGAGGGTAACAAAAGTCCTATTTTGGCCATGTTCCTTTTGAGTAATCTATTAGATCTCCAAATGGAAATATCAAATAGGTAGTTTAGAAATGTGACTTAAAATCCCAGGGAGAATTAAGAGTTAGACATATGGATTTTGGGGTTAATAACATATAGACTATATTTAAAGCCACAGGACAGGATAGGAGCCTTTAGATGAAAGGTATAGGTAGAGGAGACAAGAGGGCCCAGAACAGAGCTCTAGGAATCCCACCATTTGAGCAGAAGAAAAATCTGTTGCTGTCAAGTCGATTCTAACTCATAGCGACCCTATAGGACAGAGCAGAACTGCCCCATAGGATTTCCAAGGACTGGCTGGTAGACTGGAACCGCTGACTTTTTGATTAGGAGCTGAACTCTTAACCACTGCACCACCAGGGCTCCCTCAGCAGAAGAGAAACCATTAAAGAAGACTGCAAAGGAGCAGTCAGTGAGAAGGGAGAAAAACCAGGACAGTGTAATGCCCATAAGCCAAGGGAAGAAAGTATTTCAAAAAGAATGGATGTCCACCTTGTTAAATGGTGCTGAGACGGCAAGAAAGGTAAGACTAAACACCAGTGGATTTAATGAACTGAAAGTCAGTGATAACCTGGACTTAGCCTGAACTTAGCCTGACTTGAGTGGCTGAGGAGAGAACGTGAGGAAGTGGAGGTGACTATGTATAATAAAAAAAGTTTCTGAGGAATGGGGGCAGTAGTAGAGGCAAAGATGAAGTAAAGAGAAGGCTATTTCTGTATTTTTAAAGAAAGGAGGTGCTAGAGTATTGATTAATTGAAGGCACACTATTCCTAAACCTGACTGGAAAGAAAAACTGAAGGGAACTGTCTTAGATTTCTAGTGCTACTATAACAGAAATATCATAAGTGGGTGGCGTTAACAAACAGATATTTATTTTCTCACGGTTTAGTACGCTGGAAGGCCAAATTTAGGGTGCCAGCTCTAGGGGAAGGCTTTCTCTCTCTGTCAGCTCTGGAGGAAGGTCTTTGTCTCTTCTGAGCTTCTGCTATTGGGCAAACTTCATGTGGCTTGACATTTCTCTTTCCCCATCTCTGCTTCTTCTGCTTGCTTATTTAATGTCTTTTGTATCTCAACAGAAATTGACTTAAAACACACCCTATACTAATCCTGTCTCATTAACATAACAAAGACAACCTATTCCCAAATGGGATTATAACCACAGGCATAGAGGTTAGGATTTACAACGCACATTTTCTGGGGACACAATTCAGCCCATAATAGGAACTATCAAGTGGGGTGGGGAAAAACTGTAACAAAGTAGGAATGAAGGTGGAGAGTAGCAAAAGCCAAGTCTTTGAAGGACATTGGAGATGGTATCCGTAGATGGGTGGTCTTTGATCAGAGTTATCTTATTTCTTTATGTCCTACACCATGGGCACTGAATTTTAGTATCAGCTTTAAAATACAGAACTTCCTACATTTCTATCTAAATGGACTAAACTTACCTATGAGTAAATATCAAAAAAACTTACCAAAATTTTATCCTGCTTTGACCTCACAGATGCTCCAAACCACTGGTGGGACTTAAACTCCAATGGATCATCCTTGGCATAATCTCTGTTGCCTAAAAAAGAATATTGTAAATGGTGAGAAAAAATACATATTATCGTGGTAAAACAGAATTTACTTCTATCCACCTGGGTTTAGAAATAGCATACTGTTGGTTAATCAAAGACTACACTGGCCATTTATCTCACGTATTAGGGACTTTCAACAAATCAGAAAAACAAAACACACAATAACTTAGAAGTGCCTCAGGGTTGTTATTAACCCCATCAATTATCATAATGCAGATGTGAAAAAGTAATTGCAAATGAAGTCTTCCAGTTGCTAAATTATTAGATAATTAACTATTAAACAAATACTTACTGATTACCCACTATACTCTCAGAAGCTCTTTTTGCAGTATGAAGTTGTTTATGAAAACAAAAAGTTATGAAACTTCATTGCATAACAGTGGTAGTGAAGACTAAGACTTCTGACATAACACTGTAACACAAGAGTTAGAATGTAGGAGATATGATTTGACTGGTAGCTAGACATAATTAGATTTGGCATGCTACATTTAAACATTTATTGAGAGTCCATACTAATGAGAAAATAAATAACTCCCTGTGCACCAGGCACTCATGTAAAGCACTGTAAATTAAAAAAAGAAAAAAAAAAGATAAAAATTCTTTCTACTGAAAAGCCCTTAAGGAGAAAATTATGGACCATATGCAGAAAGTATTTCGGGAAAATCAAAAACCAAACACACTGCTGTCGAGTTGATTGCAACTCATAGTGACCCTATAGGACAGAGCAGAACTGCTCCATAGGGTTTCTAAGGCTGTAAATCCTTACAGAAGCAGACTGCCACATCTTTCTCCCTCGGAGCAGCTGGTTGGTTCAAACTGCCGACCTATCGGTTAGCAACCAAGTGCTTAACCACTGCACCACCAGGACTCCTATTTTAGGAAGGAGAGGCTAATTATTTTTAAAGTCCAGTTTGTTCCTCTTATAATGTCTATAATAATCATTCTTTGCAAATGTGTATTTCCATAATATATTGAACAAATACAATGGATAAGTGTCAATTTTAAGAAGGCAGACCAACATGTAAATATCACCAAAAGGTTTGGTTAAATCTGTTCCCTAAACCGCATCTCATCCAAAGTAGTGCTTATGGCTAGTCAATTCTATTCTGAAGACTTAAGACCAACTGAATAGTTATAAATAATAATTAATGAGATTTTAATAGTGCCAGGTGTCTTGTAGGCAAAGTGAAAAGTATAATGTTGTTTCCTATTATTCTTTCAACTTTTCCACTGTTTAAAATTTTTTTTAAATAAAAAAATGTGTCAGTCTTCAAAGGTCTCTATATCTAGTCTCAACACCAGGGTTCTTTGTCAGTGATCACAAAAGCATCTTTTTTATAAGTAGAGAGAAGGAAGAAGGAGAAATGATACTAGCTAGTATACGCCCTTCACCATGAAAACCAAGTCCAACAATAGTCAGCCTACCTCTGAAGTCTATGTTCACCATGTTGCCCTCACTGCAAACAACACACAACAATGAACTACAGATCCCCTCCTCTCATAGTTAGAGGCATGTAATTAGTTCTTGCCAATAAGATAAGAGCAGAAGTAGCATGTGTCACTTCCAGTTCAAATCAATTAAAAGTAGATTATGAGTTCATGTGTTGTACCTCCCACCCACGAGGCTGGGCGAACAGATGATAGAATCACTAGATGGAAGCAGCCCAAGTCTCTAAGCCACCAAGAACTAAATGACTCACACTGGATGGTGACATGAGCAAGAAATAATCTTTTTTTTTTTTTAAAGAGTCATTGAGATTTGGGTATTTGTTTGTAATTGAAGCATGTTGTTAGTGAAACACAGCCCAACATATCCTGAGTAATATATATTCTAAAAACATAACGCTTTTTCTACTATCACAAAGAAGCTCAGCCGTTTGAAGAATGGGGTTCATTTAATGATTTTTCAAGTATTTCTATTTTATAACCATAAAATTTACAGTTATAAGTTATTTAATGGAATTTTTTTTTTTTTTTTTTTAAATTCCATTACAAGATACCTATGTTCTCTTAGTGTGTGGCTGGCTTTCTAATCTATTTCTTTCTACAAAGCAAATGAAGGCATTGTCCACCATTCACTAATGAAGCAGAAGAAATACAGTATAACTGCAAAAGACACAGCTGGTGCTTGGAAAGATTCACCTCTATGCACTGTCCCTTGAGATCATAAGCATCATAATAAACTCAGGTAATCTTAACCAGTCCAAAGAGGAAGTTAAGTTTATGAGCTAATACATTTGAAAGAAAAAGTACAGCATTCTCACAACTGCTACTTCCTGCTTCTGCTTTCATTTAAAACACAGCCTTTTTCAGCAAGACCCTAAAGATGTCCAAGCAAAACCAAAGCTTTTTTGTATCAGAGGAAATCCAAGACTGAACAGAAGTGTCATATCAGAGAGACACAAATTAAAGTTCCATCAGTATTCTCATACTCTGTGAAACTTCCAGTTTCAAAAACAAAATGATGCAATAGGAGAGACCCAAAATCACTCTGTTCTTCCCAACAAAAGTATTCCTGCCTACAGGACACCTGGTATAGATTCCTCAAAAATGGTGATATCATGAAAGACAAAAAAAGTAGGGAACTGTTCTAGATTAAAAGTGACCAATGAGACATAGTCATCTAATGCAAGATGTGGCCCCTGATTGGAATTTGTGTCCAAAAAAAAAAAAAAATTACAAAGGACTTTATTAAAAAGAACGGTGGAAATTTGCATATGGACTGTATAGTAAATAACAGTATTATAGTAATGATACATTTCTAGTGTGATGATGGTATTGTGGTCATGTATGGGTAGTCCTAGTTCTTAGGAGATACACGCTGAAGTATTTAGGGATAAAATGCCACAAAATCTACAACACTGGGTCAATCTATCTGAATGGTATGTTGTTCACTATATTACTCTATCAAATTTTCTATAGGTTTGAAAATTATCTAAATAAGTTTTAAAAGTATAGCAATCACCTGTATGTACTATAAGGCCAGCAACAGAATATCTCCTATTTCTTTTTATTTAAACTCTTTATTGTATTTACTCTAAGTCTTACTCCTTATAAAACAAATTTAAACATAAAATAAGACATATGTAAAGATGAATTGAAATATCACTATAACTCCACCATAAAGAAATGACCCATTTTGGTGTCTAGACATGTTTCATACATACAAGTATGTCCTCTTATTTGTAAAAATAAATACTTTAAGCCAGTATTTAAAATAACATTAAACTTTTTAATATATATAAATGTATGTACCTTTATTCCTTTAACAACATGTCAAATGTAGACCCACAGTGTCATTTTTATTTTTGTATAGTACACCATTACACAGCCATAGAAAATTTTATTTAACCAATCACCTACATCTCTTTCAGTTTCAAATTTAGGAATATTTCTATTTTGATTTAAGAAACCTTTATATTCTCTCAAAATCACATCTACTTTCTCTTCCAAATACCAAGAATCTCAGCATTAAGGCTATCTTTGGGGTCTGAGGTACACTAGGTCCATTGCTAAGTTAAGGTGATAAACTCTCTGGAAAATGGTATATAATACAGAATTTTATTCTAACAAATATATTTTTTTCAAGGTCCCAAGGTGTATTTCATATGTAAGAGTTTCCTTTTCCTCTATATTCCTCTAGATGTCTTTTAATTCTTCTATTTGATTATAAAAGACCATTTCCATGCCAACACCCAATCCACACTCCTGGTATCTCTTCCCTAGTTTACCATTCCAGCATCTCAGTTAGTATCTTTTTCCTAATCATGTATCTCCCTTCCATATACCTCACTTGTTGCTACCAGACTAACCCTCTTAAGATATCATTTTATTCAGGCCACTCCCTTGTTCAAGAACTACTCTTCCCAAAAAAAATGGCCATGTCTTAAAGCACCATGTGTTTTCAATTGTGTTACCAAACAAAAGAAGCCACTGGCATACATTGGCATCTAAAACTTAGTCAACAATCTTCACAAAAATAAAATAAAAATTATTCACTGCCTGGAATGCCTGCAGTTTCAACTGAGTGATAACCTCAAAGTACCGTCTCTTCAAGAAATGTGCTCAATAGGAAGTTCTTCTTGGTCAATCAGAACTTTTCTCAAGATCCCAAGTCTTAAAATATTTAATTCAATATCAGGAAAAAGTTTCACTCAGAGTGTGAATAGAGAGGGTGAGTGGGGAGAATGCAAAGGAAAGGCTGCTCTCCAAACAAAGTGACAAGACGTTCATTTACGACCTGGCTGAAACCACTTCTGGGCAAAGCAATGAAGTAAATATTTTGACTCATAGCCCTGAAGTCTAAATATTTTCAGTCACAGCCCTAAGGTCAACATTTCAGGGGATGCTGGAATTCTATAGGCTGCTTGGACTATGATGCCACCTTGGAAAAGGAAATAGGACAGACAACTGCAGACATTCCAGTGCAGGAGGAAATGCTTCCTCAGGCAACTATGGAGTAAACAAAGATCTCTTATCAATAATTCTGTAAAACACCTTGGAAGATTAGTACTGATCTCCCAAATAAAGAGAAAAAGAGTATCTTACAGGATAGTGAAAAATGAGAAGAAACTGTTCTGTATAATATAAATTAACATAAGGCTCTACACTATCACTTTGAAAAATACATAAAGAGGAAAATGTTGCTAGTGAAACTTGAAGTTAATTAGCAAGTAAATCACTAGAGGCCTGAAAATGTAACGTCTATTTTTCCAGCTTTTAAAGTTTGTCATTTGCATTTTATCAGGCTGCTGTGGTTGAATACTTGAGGACAGAAGCAAAGTGAACAGGGCAGATTATCATAGTTTTTACACTCCGTCCCCTTAATAGCCACCTCTTTTCATTTTCTCTGATTTGAATACTCAATATTCAACCTTCTGGAGAGTTACAAGTGACACTTATTTCTATTGAGATAAAGTTACCTTATCATCCTACAGCTAATTTTTTTTTTGTTCTTTTCATGTCTAAAACATACCCTTTGGAACAA